TTGTCATACAGCCCCAATTATCATAAACCTAGAAAAGCATAATAATCGTATTTAAATAAATAGATAGATAACACTAAGGCCTGCTTTCATTTCCCCATACCTTGCAGAACATAAGCAAAGACTAAGCCTTTTTTGAATAAGGTCCTGAATCTTTATTTGAATCCTAAATTTCTAGCTGAAATTATTATGACTGGCTTGATCTACGTTTTGTACTTTGGTCATGTTGTCAGTGCGGCCTTGTCAGAGTCCTATACCTAATAATCATGAACGTAGGCGGGATCGTCCATGAATAATATCATTCTTAGGCCCATGCTACAGCTCGCCTAAGAAATAAGTTACCAAATTTTGGTTCTACGATTGTGGTCTCTCCTTCTATCCCGTCTTGCTACATCCGCCTATCCCCTATCATTGTAACATACATTTTATAAAAATTTCCAACTTGTTCAGTCTGAATTCTCCAGTTTGAAAGTGATTTATAACATCTTCAAATGGTTTCCCCTCTCCAATTCCATCGGGAGTGCTGGGATTGCTGATCCGACTTGACCCTTTCACTTTGAACATGAATTCATTCAACTCCACTCTGGCTCCCTCTCATGCCTGCTAAGATACGTTTCTTATCTTCACTGGTTGATTGATTTCACTCGGATCCAGTCACCGTATCCATTATACCCCATGGTCAGCCTCAGGCGTTTGATGGCACGAGTGGCCTCGCAGATCATACTTCCTAGGCCCTGGTCCCCAAGCTTGCCCTGGCGCCATAGACAAACTTGACACCATGTCTCACTTTATCTCATTTCGACATGAATATTGGGTAAATCTCATAGCGGACATTAAATTCACTAAGATAATAAGAAAAACTGGGTCTCAAAGAATTCCTTAATTACTTATAATGGCATGACTTCAAATTATAAAAGGAACCTTGGTTGGAAAGACTTAATAAATGTTTTTCGTATATAAGTAGAGCTTCAAGACTACCAGTCAATCAGTCATATGAGATGTATTCATATTAGTAAAATCGTTTCACCGGAAACCAGTGGAGGATTGTTACAGAATAAAGGCTGCTGGATTGTACGAAGAAGTCCTCGTCTTACTGTCCTGGCACTTTGATGAACCTGTTCTAAGATTTAGTCTGTAGCGCTATGACCGACATCATCAGAGCAATAATCTATTTGTCAGATGTGTTCACCCTATTTCGTTTTAACTTGATTAATAGCTGGTAGTAGATCCTACGTTTTCATTTAATTTCACATAGCCTTGCTTTCTCAGAAGGTATTCTCATCCAAAGAGGAATGTGGTTTCGACCTCGTCTAGGGCTTATTAACACCCCCAGCGGGACTTGAACCATGACAGTGAAGCATATAATCACGACACGTTAACCACTACGCCACATTATCATGATTCACTAGTAGTCTCTAAAATCTACTTAAAACAAAAAAACAAACATCCATAATTGACGAAATAGCGCAAAAATATGCTAAACCAAAAAGTATTCTCATACAGAGTGGACTGCAGTTTCAACCTCGCTTGAAATGGTCTAATCTGCACCTCCAGCGAAGCTCTATCGTGATAGGGCAGCGTATAATCTTGACTCGTCCCGACTGGGTGGCTGATGATACCTGGGTGAGAATAACTTTAGGGATGCAAGGTTATGTGAAACTCAATTCACTTTTTATACACCCTTCTGATGATTTTGGTTGTGGAGCTTAGCACAGGTTCATCAGTGTCACAGGTCGGTGTTCCGAGGACATTTTCGCTCGATTCAACAGTCTTCCCTCTACGGCTATCCTCTTTCAATTTCCGATAAGACCATTATGCGATTTCTTTCCAACCAACTTTTCATTAGAAATGGAAATCAGGCCACAATTATTCTTATGAATCGCCTTCATGCTGTGATTTGACTGTCTGAACCAACTAATAACCTATAGAGGCAACTCCATCTTGGTTTTCATATTTGCAAGTGAATTTCTCGCTATCAACAATTTAACGGGATTGAGTAAAATATTTCGAAATATTCTTATGAAGTATTTGGCTTTTAACTTCACTTTATCGTTCGTCTAGTCTACCAATATTTGCAAAGTCCCCTTTGCATAGTCAAACATAGGCAGTGTTGTCATATATTTTGAATGATTACCATATAAACTGTTTTTTACTTTAGGCATCTTATCTATTCGTTCATTATGCAGTACTATTCTGTATCGGACCACAGATAATCTACCTAGCAAACGAAGTCATGTGAAACGCGTACTAAGGGAAAATTTATGGCTTCAAAGCGAAAAAATAATAAAGGAAAAATTTATTTAAAGGATAGGTATGCACCGAATGTATGCAAGCAGGCAAAGTATCTGGCACGTAATTAAAGATTAAGGCTAATGCAACTTGAAGGCATTCTATTCTATTCTAATCTATTCTATTCCATTCTATTCTATTCTATTCTAAGCTATTCTATTTTATTCTATCCTATTCTATTCTATTCTATGGCTCATATGTCTTTTTAAAACAATGAAATAGTTGATATGAAGACAAAGATGTTGTGGCGTCTGGTATGGTCGCAGTCTCCTTTCGATTTATAAAAGTGGGTTGATCTCGTTGTCGCAACTTGGTCTTGTTGTCAGGGTGACTTTGTAGAACGCAACTAGTCCGAAGTCGTCTGCCATAGTAGCTGTCATGATTCCCAGCATCAAACAGTGGACTTGGTATATTCTCAGACCACTGTCTGATGCTGGGAATCCTGACAACTACTATGACAGACGACTTCGGACTAGTTGCGCTCTACAAAGTCACCCTGACAACAAGACCAAGTTGCGACAACGAAGTCAACTCACTTCAATAAAATAGTGTTCATATAAACAATACAGTTGAAAACTGATGGTAAAAAGCGTTAGCTTAAATATGTGAGAAACATTCCTCCACCCACTTCATGTTTGATAATGTTCAGAAATATTCTCAAGAGATATGAAAAGACGAAATAATACGAGCTGTAAGTTGGGTATATATTCAATTTAATCTATCTTTCTAATTCATTTTTCTCTAACCTCAAACAATTGTGGAGAGCTATAAGATACATCCCACAAGTACATTAAACGTTTTACATTATTTTTCTGTAATTAGCGGGAAAAGTGGAAGAATTGGTTGAACGTGAGCAGTCCCTAAAGAATCCCCAGCATAATGGGGATGCCAAGAGCCCAGAAAGTGGCCTGAAAGTTAAAAATTTTGATGAAGGCTCATGTTATCAACATCATGAAGAACCTCGCAAGAAAGACGGATTAACTTATGAATCCTCCGGTTATTCGGACGCTAAGCGTGGAATGGTCTTGTCAGAAAATTTTGAAACCGAGACAGTACAGCGGCTTGATGAGGCTGCTTCAGGATCTGCAACACTCGCACCGGCTGAAACTACGATCTCCGGTCAAGACGTTGATGGGTATAAGATATAGAGGAAGATCGTATTCCTTGGTGCTACACACATAGTTTACTTGACAGACATCGGATCGTAAACAAATCAAATAAAGATCCGGCCTCGAGCGACGCTGAATAGAAGGTAACTTTGATAATGTCGGAAATAAAAAAAGAATGCGAACTGGCATATTCTTTAATCCAACAAATGCTTCACAGACAGGCGTGCAGCAACACTAGCTGAGATTAATTCGCGTTATGCTCCCTTCTACTAAGTTTACGCTCGTGTACATCCTTTGTCCATCTGTGCTTCTGCAAGACACGTCATTCGTGTCAGAAAGCATCCGTACTTTCCTTTTAACTATCTAATAACCTCATTTACCATATTTCTTAGTCGTTCTCACCCTTACTCGAAGCAAAAACCCATATTTTTCTTTCAAAAAAGCAGGACCCAGACAAAATCTTAAATTTTTTTGACTAGTTCGTTTCCCACTTTGAAGCTTTTGCTCATTGAGAACATATTTGTGCTGGAATATAAAAATTGTCTAATCCGGAAAAAATACTGTCTTATTTTCTTAGATAAGCAGATGATGTGCTTAATGGTTTTGAAGCAATTGAAATGGATTATTATCATTGTCTGTATCAATGTAATTACTTCCAATAAGGATGATTAGACCAGATAATAGGCTCATGTATGCTGAAAATCTACATACCCAACAGCCCACACAACCGTATATTCGAATATCGGTATCATCAACTATGAGCCCTTCTGCCTCAATGTTATTGCAACTTTAGCAGAACCCATTAGTTTAAGACCCTCACAAACCGATCTTGCCTTATAAAAAATGATAGCCTCAGGGATCTCCCTATAGCCAGAGGTAAAATTACACTATGTCCATAAAGCCCCTCTGGTCACGATAATTAATATCGATGACCAGTTGAGAAAGTTTTGCTAATAACATCACATACCAATTTGGATTCTAAGGCAAACCTGGATACTTTGGCACTGATACGCCACGTTAGGTGAAGCCTTTTGGGCGAGATGTTATAAAGATAGTTCAGTTGAAAGACAATAAATGATTTTATGCTGCAAAGCTGATCTGATAGTCTGTGGTACAGAGCTCACAAACTCCCCAAAGGGGTATAAGTACAACACTCCAATGGGAAAATCTCGTAGCATCTCGTAGCAAACGAACCTCGCCATTCTGATAGAAACTACTATAAGCTCAAGAATTTCGCCTCTAAAAAAATTTTAAAATCATGTATTTTAGTTATGCAGTCCAAAGTTGTTAATACCTTAGGCATATTTCAGCAACGAAAAGGCGAGTGATGATGACATCATTTTGAATTAGGCTTAAACATATTACTCCTAACAACTGCTGCTAAAAAGATAGAAGTGTTTAAATATCAGAACCCCTACACGAGCAGAGAAGATAAATCATGAAAATGACTTCAGATTGATCAGCGAAAGTTTTCATATTACCTAGCATTGAAATTGGTAGATTGGAAAAATAGATTCCTAAACTGCTTCATAAATTCCCTTTACATTCTTTTCCACAGTCTTGAGATTTAGTGAGTGAAAGATTTATGCATATGGTGTGGATTTCGATCAGAGGACTAAATCGGGCCCGTAGAAATCTAAATAACCAAAAATTCGCTTTCTTATGCTGTTTTTTGGATCTTTCATAGAATGTGATTGGTTTTATTTATTAAAAAAAGTAAATAAAGACAAAGTATTTGATTACATATTGAATAACAGAAAAGAGCCAACGGCTGCAATAAGTGGAATGCCGTGATTTAGAAAGGAACTCTGATTAAAATGGATAAGCATAGCTTCACCGTAAAAGGAAAGTACGGAGTAATTGGAGATATAATAGGAAAGATATTATGCAAGTTAAATGAGGCTGCCATATTTTGATCAATGGGATATAACTAGGATCAGCTTGAGTATAATGCAGATGCCCAGCATATCAGAGATCATTGGTGAGGTGGCAGCTAATGTTAAATAATCTAACGAAGTGCGAAAGCTGCTTGAATGCCAGCTGCGAGTATCGAAGAGGGATATTGGTCAGGAATGGCTATTGAGTGCAGGCGGGGCCTCAGAGGATCTATGGAAAATAAAAGTTGGCAAAAAATGAAGAAAAGTTAAAGGAATCGTGGTGGCCAAATAAGAAAAATATCCAAAGAGTTTTAAGCAATTTAATGAAGGGAACAAATGTATATAGACAAGGCAATCTAAAAAAAGGGCACAAAATTTCGAAGCATGCAAAAAACATACATTAATAACTATTCAATTACATGCATATATACAGTTAATCTGCAATAAATCAACAGGAACGATAGGTGGATAGATGGGGAAAAAGAAACGTAAAAATAAATCTAATAGACGAAACACCCGTGCGCATAGGTATACGAAAAAAAGAGTAATTAATGAGGCAGGATGAGAAAGATAAATGTAATGGAAAATGAAAAATAAAGCGTGTCAATCGGGGGTATGAAGACTTGGATGGTGTGGCCTTTTGTTTGGTCGCGGTCTCCTTTTATTGTATAGAAGTTGCTTATGAGAAAGACCTATAGAAACGCATCTTGTCCTCTTAGTATGCATGATCAATTCCAGAATCGGACCATGGACTTGGTAGCAGTTCGAATATTGAAATTATCGTGCATACTGATAAATAAGCGGCATGATAAGAAATTGCTTATATATGGGGTAATAAGACAGTTCAGGAATGAGCCAACCCATCAAAATGATTATGTTCCGGTATAAACGGCATCCACTCTTCCCAAAGACGATGACGATAAAGCATTGAACTTTCCCTCAATCCCTCTGGATTCCGAAACGGTGCATCTCATAAAGAAGTGGTTAATTTTTTCACTTGGTAATAAAGGAAAGATTTTAAAAGGTATCAACGTCTCGCAGAAATAGCCAGAGACCAAACTGGAGATGGAAATGAAATAATCCCGAGAATTCTGGCCGATCAAGAGCCAATGAAAAGGAATGCTATGATGAGGATGAGTAGAAAATTACAAATAAATGACCAAACAGTTCTTCAGGCGAATAAAAGAGATGCGACGGTGATAATGGACAGTACACGGAGGAAATGGAAAGAAGCCTAGGCGACCGGAAGACTAATCAAATATTGTTAGGGGGACTGTCATTTCGTATGAAAGTGCATGAGGAAGAGATTCGTGGGTCGATCTCACCATAAGAGGACGGATGAATCCCTTTGTACTGCAGCCTTTTGGCTTTTAAACGACGTTCAGGTTGGCGCAGTCCACCTGATGATGTCCATTATATGATGTACGAAAGCCCAGCCCGTTTCACCCGAAACGAGGGAGATCTTGTCGACTGCGTCAACCTGAACGCCGTATAAAAGCCAAATGGTTGCAGTACAACGGAATTTATCCGTCCTCTTCTGGTGAAATCGACATACGAATCTCTTACTCATGCACTTTCAAACGAAATGAAAGTCCCACAACAATGTTATCTCAGAAGTTTCCACTAAACCCAGTTTCTCTTCGTATTTACTTATCAAATAGCAAAAAAGGACCCAACAATGAAGCTCAACAAAATACTGAAGGAAATGTTAAAGGAAATGCAAAATCAATGGAGAAAATGATAGATGGATGAGGAATTCTTTAATAAAAAATGACGCAAGACCATCAACAGCATACG